CAGACATCATTGTTGTACCTGATCGCATATTAGTCATTGTGGCTGGAAATTCTAATGCTGTTGGACTGTGCATAGTAACTCCAACTTCTATACTACCTGACCATTTGTGTACGAGTCTATCAATTCGTACCTATTAAAAAATAATTATATAAATAATAATATAATATAAAACTTTTTATAATAAAATTATTTTTATTTTTCATTTATATTTTTCATCGTTTACCTCAAATAATTCATTATCTCGTAATGGTCTGTGTGTCATTACTACTCCATTATTAAATTCATCTAAAGGTCTACGCCTTTCTGCAGTTCTAGCATTATTAGATAACTTTACAAGTGAACCAACTCTTTCATGAAATCTCAATCTATCTTCTCTAATGGCAGCAGGACTTGGATTCTTAGGTAAATTAACATTAACATTAACATTTAAATTGACATTCAAATTAGCGACTAGATTAGTTGTTGAGGAATTAGATGCTTCTCCAAGAGCATAATCATTATTAATTTCAACTTCATCTTTTGGTTCATTACATAAAGCAGAAGCAATTTGAGGATGAGTTATAGTCACTTGTACACAATCACCATACATGTCTATTACTGCAAAAATGCGTTCTGGAATATTGCATACTGCTATTCCTTGAGAAACACCATTAATATAAAATATCAATTCATGCTAAAATTAAAAAAAAAAAGATTAATAAATATGTATATATAAAATTATTAAAATACAATTAAAATATAAATATACAAAGATTTACATTAGATGTTCTCATTACTCCTAATGTACTTCCTTCTTCTAATTCATTCAGATCCATTCCATACATTTCTACTGTTCTTATACCATCATGCATTATACCAGAATCAGACATAATCCATGTTCCTTGTCGTAGATTAGTGGCACAAGCTGGTAATTCCATTATTTCTGGATCACATTCTGTTACTCCAATTTCTATACTACCACTCCATGATGTCATCTATATAATATTAGATAACTTAAGATGTAAATAATATAATGGAAGATAATTAGTAGATATAATTATAATTTTTAATTTAGTTGTTGCATTTTATTGTATACTTGTAATTCAATAAATAGTTTATTGAATTTTATTTGAATATATTAATTCCAAATAAAAACATGTATTAATCATAATTTTGGTAATAAAATACCGAATCTATAGTAAGTCATTAAAAAAAAAAAGATAAAAGCAACAAACAAAGTACGAGCGTTTATAATTTGATTCATCAATGATATATTGTATGACAATCTTTAAAAGAAGTATAAAATTTATCTAAATTCTAAATAAATGAATAATAAATTGGAAACTTCAAGTTATCAACATTGTAAACAATGTTTTGATACATATAAGGATTGGCGATACCAATACTAGACAAGTTTATAATTCGATACCTTTTTATCAATGCGAATTTCAAAAAGTTCATCATCCTTAAGTGGTTCAGCACTAAGAACCAATCCATAATTATATTCTGAAAAATCCCGTATGGCCGTACAATTGTTGTTTGTTAAAGTTACACGACGACCGCATCGTTGATGAAACATGTCGACCATTTGTTGTGCACCAACCATCGACATATAACCAAACCATACATTGCCTTCTTCTTTCCACTGTCTCTCTATCTTCTTTCAACTAATAACTCTTGTATATTTTCTATCTCTTTTTATCCAATCTTTTTCTTTCTCTATGTTTAGTCACGAACAATGTAATAATTGCAACTACATACATGAATAGAGTAATGATTACATGTATGCAATGCCTCTTTTAGCATTTTTTTTATTGCATAATTATAACTTAAAAAAAACTTTTATTTTAGAAAATGTATTAATATAATAACATAATAAAAATGAAAAAAATTTATAAATGTAGGATTAATAATGTATCGTTTATATATATATATATATATATGTTTCGAGATATCATAATTTAAATTTTAAATTTTGAATAAATTTAATATACAATTTAATATACAATATATTTAATATTCAATATATAATATACAATAGGATCTTCAAAGATTTACATATTTGAGAAAAATAAAGGAAAAAATATATTTTATATTGGATCTTCTGTATCTTACAATACGCAGTGAATTGCAAAAAAAGTTAATTTTTTTGTTGAATTAATTTTTGTTTTTTAAAATGAACAAAATATCGAAACTCATTAATTTTAGTAAAAAAATCTAAATGTTTAAATGTATTTGTTTTCTTTATTCTATTTTGTTATAATCAACAAATAATAAATTTGTAATAAATTTATTTGTTTTAAAAATATTCTAAATTATATTTTGTTTTGAAAAAATAAAAATTTTATTTTTATGCCATGAAAAATTTAAACAAATTTTATAACCTTACTTAAATCTTTCTAGATTTGTGAATTTTCTTCAAATTTAAATTTATCGTTCTTTAGAAATTAATTTTATTTAATAATAATATAAAAATAATTATTATTATATAATTATTTAACAAAATTTATAAAATACTAATCTAATTGACAAATTATACGACTTATTTGCACTTACATATATCAATATATAAAAAATTTTTAAATATTTCACATGTTTTCTTTTATATTAAATGAATAACATTATTTTATTACATAAGTTATGTTGCAATTTAGTTATCAAAATGAATAGCATAAAACATAAAATATGGTTTGTATTTAAGTCTTGTGTAAATTAATTTATTTTGTATATTTAATATACTTTAATATAAAAAAAAAAATTGACATTATTTAAATTTACAGTATGGTATCTGATTTCTTTTATCCTAATATGGGTGGTGTTGAAGAACATATTTTTAATTTATCTCAATGTTTATTAGAACGTGGACATAAAGTTGTAGTGCTTACTCATTCCTATGGTGATAGGATTGGGATACGTTATATGACAAATGGTTTAAAAGTATGTATAATATATAAAAAATATTTAAAAATATTTATTCACATTTAATTTCACATTAAAAGTATTTATTTTATTTTTAAGGTATATTATATACCAGTAAAAGTATTTTACAATCAATGTGTTCTTCCCACAATGATTTGTTCTATTCCTCTCATTAGATATATTTATTTAAGAGAAGAAATTCAAATAGTACATGGTCATTCTGCATTCTCTGCTCTTGCTCATGAAGGAATGTTAATTGGCCGTTTAATGGGACTAAAAGTAAGTCATTTGAAATTTAAGATATGTGATATTCATATATTATGTTTTTTTTTATACTGGGATTTTAGACTATTTTTACAGATCATTCACTTTTTGGCTTTGCGGATGCATCTGCAATTTTAACAAATAAATTTTTAGAAATATCATTAGCTGATTGCAATCATTGTATATGTGTATCACATATTGGAAAAGAAAATACAGTATTAAGAGCAAAAGTTCTAAAAGAGAAGGTTTCTGTTATTCCAAATGCAGTTGATACAACATTATTTATGCCTGATATTAATAAAAGAGATAATAATTTTAGTAAGTTACTTGTATATATTATATGAAATATTAAGATTAAAAAAAAATGCATAATATTATTTGCTATTATTAATTGTAGTTACAATAGTCATTGTATCGCGATTAGTATATCGCAAAGGTGTCGATTTATTAGCTCGTATTATACCCAATCTTTGTAGTCGATATCAAGATGTTCAATTTTTAATTGCTGGAGATGGTCCTAAAAGATGGCTCATAGAAGAAGTACGAGAAAGAAACTTATTACAACATAGAGTTACATTACTTGGAAGTTTGGAACATTCTCAAATTAGACATGTATTAAATAAAGGACATATATTTCTTAATACAAGTTTGACAGAAGCATATTGTATGGCAATTGTTGAAGCTGCATCATGCGGGTAAAAAATTAATTGAAATGTTAACTGTATCCCTAAGAAAATTATTTTTATTACTTTAATAATATATTTTTATTTATTATAGTTTACAAGTTGTTTCAACAAAAGTTGGTGGTATACCTGAAGTATTACCTCCTGATTTAATTTATTTAGTAGAACCTACAGTACCTGCTCTTATTGAAGGATTAGAATCTGCTATTACAGATTATAAAGAAGGCAATACTAAATGTCCAATGGAAATGCATAAAAAAATAAGTTTATTTTATAATTGGTTTAATATTACTAAAAGAACAGAAGTAGTATACAATTTAGTAAAACAAGAAAATAATAAAAATTTAGGTCAACAATTAGTAAGCTATATTCGAAGTGGAGTATTACCTTATTTACTTGTTATATCCTTATGCTACATTATTTTACAAATTTTAGAAATTCTTGTACCTCGAAAGGTAAGTTAAAACATGCAATTAAATAATAATAATTCTTATTATTAATTATTAATAAACGAACATTTTTAGTATATTGATATTGCAAAAGAATACACTGAAAATGACGTCATAAATTCTCAAGAAAAAATAAAAGAAAATTAATATTTATACAAGATGTACAATAAGATGATATAAGTTTAATAGTATTTATAAGTATTATATATAAATACATTCCTATAAATATGATAGTCATTAATTTTAATTTTAATATATCTTTTCACATAAAAGAGAACAACAAATTGTTCATAAGTATACTTTTTAATAATATATTTTTATATTATATATATATATGTAAAAAAAAAAAACAGCAATATCTAAAATATAAATAAAATTGTTAAAAAAGATTAAATTAATATAAAATTATATTATTTTTATTTCTTTATCTTTACAAAATAATAATGATTCTAGAATAATTTATAAAAATAATTTTTAATATTGTTTTAAATGTTTGTTTACAAATTTATATATAAAATATATTTCGTCAATTATTTTTTCTTTTATATGTTTTATATATTGTAATTTTAATCAAATAAAAAATTTGTAATAATTGATTTAAAAAATATACTTAAAAAATAAAAAGGGTCAAATTGAAAATATAATAATATTTATTTTATTATGTTGTACGTTAGATACAATAATAATATTAATACAATATCAATGATCTTTTTTCGTCTATTTAATTATCCTTGTATTACTGTACATTTATCTATTTATACATAAATCTTTCATGTAAAGGTCTATGATCTTCTAAGAATACTTTTTGTATTAGAAGAAGATCAAGGAACCTTAATTAACAACCATATAATATTAAGAGCGGTCAGATCTGTCACAACATTTTCCGCACTTATAAAACAGAGTATTCGTGTCACTTTTTCCAAATATATTAGTTTAATTAGAAAAAACAACAAAAAAAAATTAATATTTTTCAAACAGATGCTAAAAGTTTTCTCCTTTAACTCCTTGTTAAAGATGGGACACTTCATGACATATTTACTTATAATTAAAACTTTACAAAAGATACTGGTTTTAGATATTGCATTAATTAAATCTTACATAAAATTCTTTGTTAAATATTTAGATTGACCTCAATATATAAGAAGGCTATGCCGACGAGAGTGAGATCCACACGTAGGCACACGCAGTAATCAATCTGGAATTTTCTTATGTGCTATGTAATTTTTCAAAATCGACAATACATTCCTAACATTACACGAGCTTACTTTCATATTTCTGGTGCAAAACAGGAAAATGGAAGATAGTTTATTTCTTTTATACATTGTATAACATGCAATACTATTTTTTCTTTTAAATATACCAATGTATTCAAAGTGTTAAGAAAGTACAAGAACTTTTTTTTCACAATGTCACTGCCTTGAAACATACAATTCTTTTAATGTTTTTTATGATTGCTTTATATAAACGGAGTAAGGAGCAATTCATATTAAAATATAATATAATTTAATTTCGAATTGATGCTTGCATTCAATCGTTCAGTCAAAATATCATTAGTTTACTTTTAAAAATAGTCATAAATTGGTTAAAAAAATTTTTTAATGTATCAAACGTAAGATAATTATTTTTTTAAAACATAATAATGAAATATAATCCAAAGCAAAATCGTATCGTTATCGTGATGTTGCGATAAAGCAAGAAATCCATAGGATTTATATATCATACTTGGTGCATTCGATACAAGCAAACACCAATGAATCCCATCAACACAGTTCTTGATCGATGTTTCTTTGATCACAAACATACATTTATAATTTATTTTTGTTTGCTGAACACCATCGTGAGCACATATTGCTTTCGACTGCGATGTTTCCGCGTGTACAAGTTATCAATCGGCATAATTTCTTCATTTACGATGAAAGTGAAATATTACAAAATGTATTAATACTATATATGTATATAGAATATACATATATATGTATGTGTATATATATATATATTTATTTATTTATATTTATATATATATACGCGTAAATAGAAGATGAGTTTGCTTTGCTTTATGAAGTATCTTTTTTTGAGTAGTATATACAATAGGGTTTTTTTTCGGAGTGTCTTTCAGTTACATTCGAAAAGGAAATAATGCCACGCTATATCGGTATCTAAGGCTCCCATTAATGTTCGAATGAAGGATAGGAAAGGTAAAATCCTTACACGCATAATCATAGAAAAATCTTATACATTTTTAACGAAGTACTCGCGACGGGTTCCTTAGAACTTATTTGGCATTTACAATAAATAAATAACAAACCATGTGTTGGGCCAAGCGTTGCACAATTTCCGTAATATAGTTAGAGTTGTCAGATTTAATTCAAACACCTTCCCCATAATCGCGATCACCTACATTGATACGATCAGGGGCTGCAGTTACACTAAAGCCAAGAATTCTATTATCAACTTTGTACATTTTTCCCTTCTTTGGCTTCTTTGACTTTCCCTGAAAGATCATATTAAGCAGCTTAGGCGCTTGTAAAATATATAATCCATCAGTTCCAGTTTTATCATCTATTTAAGATACCTTTACTTCCTGAAATTCCGTAGGTGCATTAGGATTAACAGCAGGTGCTGGTTTACACAAATCATCCGCTTGTGCTTGAGGTCGTTGGGCCGATCGCCACTTACTACGTTTTTCTAAAAATTGCTTTGCAAATTCTGAACTTTGTTTGTTATCACCAAGATAATCTCGAACATATTCTTTTACTTCATACGCAGATTCAATATCTCGCAAAAATCCAACAAATGTAGGGACTGTACACGTAAAATTTTCTCATCAAACCATCTATAAACGAACAAAAATATATTGTAAAAAAGTCTCTAACTTACTGTCTACAGAGACTTGTAAACCACTCAGAGCTTTGTTGCACCATTGCGTAAAATCATCTGTCTTGGCAGTGTTTTGTTCAAATAATTTCTTTACTAGTTCTTCTTCCCGTTTATTCTTACTTTTATTTGCTTTATTACTTTGTTGTTGTTGTTGATTGGCAGTAGGAGCCTTTGCTGTACTAGTCTGTTTAATAGATTGTTTCGCGGTTGTAGAAGATTTGATTGGCGTGGGATCATCCCAAAAACCACTACTACCACTATTGTTCGACCAAGGTTGATTATTATTAGAGCTACTCGAATTAGCCCAATTCAAACATTGAGATGCAGTACCCCATATTCCAGCATTTTGTAGTACGCTCGTTGATTCTTTTTGTCCTGCCTTTTCTTGACGTTCCCTTTCTTGCTGCTGAAGTGTCAGCAATAACAATTAGCAATATATAATTATCGTTTAACAATTACAATTCTTTCTGTTCCGCTATTATATGAATATATAAATATATAAAATTCAAAAAGATCTCGAAATAATAAGAAATATCAAAATTAACATATAATAATAAAATATTGACAAAGTAATAAGTACCTTTACCTTGGCGATCCGTTCCTGCTCTTCTTGTTGAATTTGAGCGAGACTTTTTACTGGTATAGATTTAGTAGAACCCGTACTTTTTTCTGCCCATTTAAATTGCAATCTTTTAGAAGAATCAGTTACTGATGCTTCTTGCGCTGCTTCTATGGCTTTCTGCTGTGCTAATTGTTGCTGCATTATTTGTTGAAACCGCTGTTCTTCCTAACCAGACAGTTATAGCTATGAATATATAATTTCTATAAGAATGATAATATTTTTTTAACAATTTGGAAGCATACCGCTTTTTTTTCTCGTTCAAGTCTCTGAATTTCAGCAAGTGAAGCAGCAGGAGTTGCTGGAGTAGGTGTTCGAGGTGCTTGCGCCCATGGTGCTTTACTTCGTTCCTGTAATCTGCGAAGTGCATCTGCTTCTCGTCGCCTTTGTTCTGCTCGCCGAGCTTGTTCTTCAACTTCAGCTTGTTACGTGCTTCTGCTTCTTTTCTATGATAAAAGGAAAATAATAATATGTAATATCTATATTAATGTTTTTGAATTAATCATATAATAAACTTTAATAATAATAAAAATATACCGCATTCTCTCTTCTTCCTGTTTTCTTGTTCTTCTTCCTAA